AGATACTTCATCCACAAACGCGATGACCTGAGGAGAAGCTGTATGAATGTCAACCTTTTGCAACGCTTATTTGAACTTAGCGCCATCAGTTGGAAACGCCTCCAAATGGTTGATCAGATCGACATGAAAGAGTTACGTTTTCAGGCGAATGAGAATTTCGCCTTGGGTTCCAAGAGAAGAAACACCCCCGAGACAGTTGAAGTGCTAGAGCCCCCATCATTCGAGCGATTTCTAGAAGCCACCAAAAAATTTAAGTATTCAAAGGGGCTACTTTTCTTTAAAGAAGAAATTTCTTGAGGCGACATGGTAGTAGTGGTTGGAGCATCGTTGGGAGGAGGTGAAACAGTGCCAAATGGAGCATTTGTTTGAGGAGGCTTTTCAGTTGTTTGAGAAGGTTCTTGGTTGATAGTCTCATCAATGTGAGCAGTATATTCAGGACCCTTCATCTCATCATTTCTAGCACACCCTTCTAAGATGTCTTTATGGGTGTCGTCTTCCACTTTCTCACTGATGGGAGAGTACTCAGGGGCTCCATGATTGACAGGAGAATTGAGATCACTATCAGTAGATTCACTATCTGACAAAATCACAGTCATTTTCTTTTTTCCCTTTGAAGTCCTTAAAATGAGCTTGGTGGGGCGCTGTTTGGATTTAGTGGTTGGTCGCTGAAACAAAAGAGATAAGTAACAACAAAACTAAAAGGAGAATGTAAGCTTGAAGAAAAAAGGAGTTTTTTTAGGGAAAAAGAAAGGATTCCTGAGAGTCCCCTTCACGGCTGGAATTGATGCTCTCTAGGCGAGTCGAAGCTGGCGACACGACTCGTATTTTTGCTACCACTCGAGCAGGCACATTGGTAGAAGTAGTTTGTTTTGAAACGTCTTCAGATCGATTCGACCAAGACTTTTTGTATTTTGAGGGGATAAAAGGCAAAGACGTGCTATCCACTTGCTTCTCTTTATGGGAAGATTGTTTTCGCCTCTTTGGAGAGGGTATAAAAGGGACAACAACATTGGCTTCAGCAACCTGCGAATGGGTCGACATAATCAACGTGTTAGATAGGGGATGTGGTCAGTTAAGAAAACACCAAAATTAACAAATTACCTGAGAGGAAATTGCAGGAGTTTTTCACTAGAATCATAAATAGTTGCATTACTAACAACCTCCCTAGCACGCTTCTTGTGCTCAATTGATGAATAAAACAAAAGCGCAAGACAAAGTTTAAAGGTCGAAACATAAAGAAGAGAGAAAGCAAATAAAGTGATCAACAGTCACAGTAGTAAGCCATACCTTTCTTAAACTACTAATTCATAGCTTCGAAAGCACTAGCTAATCGATGCTTGAAAGATTTGAGGTTCCCATTTTTCTTTACGAACCTCACGGTCCACCAATCAAAAAACTCCTTCGTTATATAGAAAAGGGGTTTGAAGGAGACAAGGTTCAGGTTGGGGGCGTCAGCAGCAAAGTGTTGGAGGCGTTGAGCACACTCTACTTCGATGTAGCTTTGGGACAGAAGGCACATTTTTTCTGATGGCTTGTAAATGTTGTGAGGCAAAGGTTGGCATAAACCAAATTGCCTAGCCACCAAATTGGGTCGGTAACAAAAAAGTGTTACCCCATCATTAGTTCCCACCCTAGACGCTATAAGCCCAAGGGTTAGAAAAGCTTTCTAAATGGCTTTGGATTAAGGGAATTGCGTTGGCTCAGCAGAGGGAAATGGTCAAGTAAACCATTCAAAACCACATGGTCTTGAAGAAAATGGCGCCATACTGGGGTGAAAGAGGTACACTTGAAGAAACACTTTAAGTACATTTCAAGCACCTCCTCTCGATTCAGGTCGTTGTTGGACGACATCTTTGCAGCAAGACGGGGACCTTCAATGGCACGATTGGCAAAGAATGCCTCATGTGCCTCTGAAAGTTTCAATTTAAGATGATTCCAAAAGGTGTCATTTAGCCACATTTGCAGTAGCCAAAATGGCCTAGCAAGTAGATAGTTGGAAGTCGGTGCAAGAGAGGTCATCTGGTCGACCCCCACACTGAGTGGTTCATAAAGAGACCCCAAGATGAGTTTTCTCAAGCAAGTGTTTCGACCTATGTGAAGGTGATGCGTCAATGCAATAAAATGTTTTGCCACCTTCAAAGACATGCTGCAGAAAATATAATTAGAGAGCCATAAGGCCAGAAAGGTGATGTGCTCTTCAACAGACACCGTGTTGACATCCTTAGCATGAAAACACTTCATGTACTTGGTGAAACCAACAACATCCTTATCAAAAGGAATAATGTATTCATCATCTTTAATAGGGATGAAAGTTTCACTTGTAGGGCGAAGGCCAATGATAGCTGCAACAACAAACAGAGTGGGAGTTAGCATACCGGTCGTGAAATGGAAAGTGTTCGTCGAACTCTCCCTGAAGTAGAGGGCATAAATCATCATATAGTTGCAATACTAGGGCCAACCCTAGAGAGTTGAATAAATCAAAAATTTCTTGGGATTTCTAGACATCACCTTTAAAATTCTCTACCTTATTTAACCATGCAATGTAATCTTGGTTGATAGTAGGAGCGGAGCGAAACACTTTTGAGGTCCTATAGAGGTGAGAGAAATCTAAAGGATACTTCTAGGCGATGGGAGGCCTTGTGCTTCTATGAACATGGAAGCACTTTTTCCTATTTTTTGGTGCCCTAATCTCATCAGGGGTAGGTCCCATGAGAGCATACACAGTTTTGTTGCAGATAAATGGAAGCAACCGTTAGAACGGAAAGTAGCAATGTTGCGTGCTAGGTTTGGCTCCAACACAAAGGTTTGTTCATCAACAACGAGGAAATCAGGCATGGTGGAAACTAGCTCAACTGTGTGAGGGGCGTTAATGTGTTCAACAACTTGGCTTGGGGACGCCATGGAAGATGAATGGAAGCTTTGAATAAAAACGAAAGGGGGTTTGTTTGTTGAGTTTGGAAGCTAGAAGATTAAGGATGCAAAGAAAGCGTAAAGAGAAAATGAAGGAATGAAATGGGTATTTATACCACTAAAGAAACCAAATGTTTAGGAAGAAAGTGAAAAAAAAAACTGTGGCTACACGACTGACACGTGTCAAACAGATGGCAACTAAGGTGAGGAAGTTGGTAAGTTGGAGGCCACAGTTATCCTAGGAAGTTAAAGCTAGAAAGTATGGAAGTCGCTGTGTGATCGTTGATGTAATGTTTGAAGAACAAGGTCATGATTACAATGACGCCACTTCACACTAAGAGAAAAATATTAAAATGTTCGTTTCTGCTCTTTCAGTCGAAAAGGACATTTTGGGGGGCTATTTGTTGGCTGGGATTTTCATAGAGAAAGAGAAATCCAAACCAAAAGTCAAAAAGGTTCTTTTAAGAGAATTAAAGAGCATTAAATTATAAGGAGTCGACTACACAAGTATGTCGACTATGGACTCATAGGTAGTCGACCAAGGTTTCATAAGTGAAGTCGATCAGAGAAGGATTCATGGTGAATGGATTAGACCCAAGAGATGTAAGTAGCCCAAAAGGGTTATAAGGTCCATAAGCGCCTAAACGGTAAAGGCGAAGCGTTATGGAGGGAGAACGCGGGTTCGACAATTACAATAGAGAACATGGGTTCGACAACAAGAATGGAGAACTTGGTTTCGTGAGGGGAAGTTATGAAGAATATGTGGCATGCAAGGAGACGAAGCCCACTTAAAAGTAGCTATTTCTGTGTATCATAAACAAAGCACTTAGTGCACTTTGTAAAGGGGTCAAATTTTCATATTCTTGTACGCTAGTCACTCACAGTAACCAAGCGAACGAGCGAAATGAGTCAGGAAAAGGCAATGTATGTTTGAACCAACCTATTTTCAACATTTCTTTAATGTTATTTCATTATCATTTATAATTTAAAACACTTTTGTCTTATTTATTTTATCCTTTATCGAGTCGTTTGGCTCTCAGTCGAACAAACACTTTGTCTTATTTATTTTGTCTTTTATCAAGTCGTTTGACTCTCAGTCGAACACACCTTTTTGAAAACACTTTAACTACGCACACGAACCACCAATTGAAGCACTATACTGAGATTCCCTAGTCGATCTCGCCAATAAACTTATTTTAAAGAGACCAACGTTGTTTACCAAATCCAGAGGTAAACACCGACCGTAACATCTTTAAAAAAATAATAGTGCATTTTTGGTTTCATATAAAGCCCTAAATAGCAGGAGTTGAGAATCAAACCTCAAACTCTGGACATTTATTTATGTCGGTTATATTAAAAGCCGATGTAATGAGAATTATTATTATTTTTTAAAAACAAAACAAAACGCTCCTTTCACATGTACCCGCTGTTTTGTTTCATTCGTTGTGAAAGCTTCGTCATGAAAAATATTATTTATTATAGTGACTGAAATAACTTCTAATATACTTTTCGCGAAAGTAATCCTCCCTACAAAAGAAAGTTGATTAGTTTTCCATCTTGCGAGTTTCCTCATGATCTGCTCTTTGATAGAAGTCATGTTTTCAAAGCATTTTTCCTTTCAAAGCGATACAATGATACTTCCCAAGTTCATTTGCCTCTCAAAACATCGATGCATGAATTAGAATCATTCGGGTACTCCATGCGCATTTTTAAAGAAAAAGATACACGTCTTTTCTTCACTAATCTCCTATTCTGACGTGCCATTAAACTTATTCAAGATAAAACTTTTCTAGTACAAATATTTAAGTTAATATTTTTTAACTGCAATTAAATTAACATTTAAAAACCTCAAAATCCCAATTTAATTCAATCAATAAACAGTGATGAGAGAACTAAAAACATTTATGTTATATCTTATATTTTATTTTTAAGTAGTAAATAATTTTGTTTTTCTTTTATTATTCTACAATCTCATTTATTCTCATTTGGGAGAGATGCAACACGAGTATTTCTTACTAGATACGTATCATGGTATATTTTTTATTCAAATACATATTTAATAAGCAAAATTTAAATTTAAACGGGTTTACCTCGAGAATATGAGACTGAAACCAGGGGTGATTCGGGTAACACAGCACATATAAACTTGTCAGCATTGAGAGTAAAAGGCTTAGAAGCTGGATTATTAACTAGAAGCTGCTTATGATTAGAAAAAAGAACAAAAACGTTACAATGTAATATTGAAGAGAAAAAATAAAGTATGAATGTTTAATTGAATCAAACCTTAGAAACAAGAACGTTGATGCCAGCATCCTTTGAATCCCATCCAAATTCACCAAAGTTTTTCACATTATGAATATTTTGTTTAATGTAATTCCAATAATTAGGGATCTTAGTAGCCCTCAGTAACCATGCTGCTCCCCACACTAATTCGTCCTATATATTTTGTTTGCAATTGGCATTAAGCATAGTATTTATTTTTAAAGCATTATGCTCATGAATATAAAATTTAGTAGATAAATATTTCTGCCAATTTGGCTATTTTCTAAATTTATAATTCATTTTATTCAATGACAAAAATTATACTTGTGTATATCAACTGGATTTGAATACAAAAATATTTTTCACCCAAAAGACATTCTAAGATATCTCCCATAGTTGGAATTTTTAACGCAATAGACATTCCAACAATATATCTTCGTAGCTTAATTATTTCTCTCACTTTAGAATTTATGATTAGATATTGACAACAAAACCCACATGTGGGCACATTCGTTAAATCTGTTTTTAAATGGAAAAAAAATTGTTTCTTTTCCTGAATTCGAGTTTGAATTTTTTTTTTAATTTTAAAATATGGAGATGAGACAGAAAAATAAAAACACTATTATTTAAATTGAACATGTTTCTGAATTCAATCTGTTGTTAGTTTAAAATATTTTTAATAATTTAAAATATTAAATATTTGATTAATTGATTTGTACTTTATAACTTGAATATTTAAAAAATTATATTTAAATTTTTTTAGAATTATTTTAACTTATTATTTTCTAATGTGACCTAATGTGTGTTAAAGTTCAACACAAATTACGAGTTTGAAGAGATAAATTATTTTAACTTTAAAAAAATTGATTCTGATATATGGATATCCAAATTTAGATGAATAAATTTCAAGTTCAATTATTTAGTTTTGTTTGAGTTTAAGACAGGGAGATGAAGTTATGCAAAATAGAATTTTTCTTTATATTTAATAGTGATAATTTTTATCATGAAAAATCTAAAAATATCTCTCAGATATACAAATTCGAATGCACCTTTTGAATTTGAAATATTGAGTTATTTTAGATAGACATATATGATGAACTCCTATTTTTTATTTTCGGAAAGATTTCGGATATGCATATCCAAAATAACTCAATATTCCAATTTTTTTTTGATTTTATTTTGAAAAGATATTTATTTATAATATAATTAAATTAACTTATTATTAATAAATAATAACTTAAATTTATAATTAAAAAGTAAATACTAAAACTCAATATTCCAATTTTATTTTGATTTTATTTTGAAAAGATATTTATTTATAATATAATTATAATATAATTAAATTAAATTATTATTAATAAATAATAACTTAAATTTATAATTAATAATTAAAAATTAAAGTAAATTTATGATATGAAATTAAATAATGAATGTAATAATTAAATTTTTTAATTATAATGGTGAAATGTAACAATTGATATATTTTATAATAAAATAAAATATAATTAAATAATTTTAGTGTTCTAAACTTTGCGTTTCTGCGTTTTTGACATTTACGCAATCTAACATAAAAAATTCGGTTTTTTGAGAAATTGACTATAAATTAAAATTTTACCGTGTCAATTCATCATAAAAACCCTAAATTCCTTATTTATCTATTTTATTTGATTTATTTCCCGTTTTCATATTTTCAAAAAAATACGAAAAAATTTATAGGCACTTAATTTAATTTTATTTGATTTTTAGTTGTATTTTTAGAGTTTTCAAACAGAGTAAAATTCGGATATGCATATCCGAAACCACTTTTTTTTTTTTTTGCAAAAAATGAGGTGTATTCGGATATGCATATCCGAACACACCTGATTTTTTTGTAAAATTCGGATATGCATATCCGAAACTACTTTTTTCGTAAAAAATAAGGTGTATTCAGATATGTATATCCGAAACCACCTTTTTCGTAAAAAATGAGGTGCATTCGAATATGCATATCCGAATTCTAGGAATATTTTAGATTTTTCGCCAGAGATCTGAAAGAAGAGTACTAGGTGTCAAAAGAAATTCTCTATGCAAAAAGGGTTAAACAAAAACTATGATAAAGACTAAAATTATTAGGAATCAGTTCGATTTTATGCTTGAGAGATTGACCATGGAAGGGATCTATTTATTACGTCATGTGATTGAGCAATATCGAATAGGCCAACAAGTCTTGCACTTAATTTTTATTGACTTGGAGAAGGCATATCATATAGTGCCTCGAGAGATTTTGTGAAAAATCCTAGAGAAGAAACGAGTTAAGGTTGCCTATATTCGAACTACCCAAGATATATATGAATGAGTATCGACTAGTGTACGAACACATAGTATAGAGATAGACGATTTTCCCATTACAATCGGATTCGACCAAGTTTCAACCATAAATCTATACCTTTTGACTTTAATTTTGGATGAACTCAAAAACACATCCAAGAGCTAGCTACAAGATGTATGTTTTTTTTTTGTAGATAATATAGTCCTACATAGAGAGTCAAACGAGGATTTAAATGAGAGGTTGGAGAGTTGAAGGCGAGTCTTAGAAATACATGGCTTTCGCTTTAATAGAAGCAAGACAAAGTATATGTAATGTAAGTTTAGCAAAAGGAGAAACATGTCTAACGTAAAGGTGAAATTTAGAGACCATATCATCTCATATATCATGTGATTAAATATCTTGAGTCTGTAATATAAAATAATGGAAACGTTTATCGGGATGTAAACGATCGAATTCAAGCTGTGTGGCAAAATAATAGAGGAGAGTCTCATGAGTTTTATATGACACAAAAGTAACGTTCAAGCTAAAGAGAAATTTTTTACAGACAATGGTAAGATCTGCGATGTTGAACGAGAAAAAATGTTAGGCGATTAAGAATCAAAACAAGAATAAGTGTAGTAGAGATGAAGATGTTGTGTTGATGTATGACAAGATTATTCGGTATAAAGTTAGAAATGACGATATTAGAGAGATTGTTAGGATAACACATATAGTAGAAAAGAAAGTGGAAAATAAGGTTATGGAGATATATAGATAAGACTTGTATATTATATTATAGAAAGAGAAGAATCAAACAACTAGAGATAATGAAAGACTTAAAAAACTATAAAAAAGACAATTAAAAAAAGATCTTGAGATAAACAAATTAGATAAAAAAATATTATATTAGATAAAATATTATGGTGAAATTTGATGAATGTAATTGATCACCCTTAATGATATAATGTTTGATTGTTATTATTATTGTTGTTGTTGGATTTTGCATAGGGAGCATATATTTAAGTTAGACATCTTTAATTTTGAACCTAAGTTCTTCGCTATGTTGTCGAATAAAAGGCGTAGTAAGTAATAATCACAATGCCTTGAAATTAAAATTTAGAAACAAAAATAGATCAACAATGATAAGATCAAAGAGATATATAAAACTTGACCTACCTGGTAGCCACTATAATCACAATAGAATGGGCATACATAAGGACCAAGACTATCATTATATGAACCTCTGTATTTATCAGCAAACTCAAAAACCTAATTCCATACAAAAGAAGAAAAAAAATGATCAGATTGAAGATTGAATGTACATCATTATGATCATAATATAATAGTTACTCTTAACTATATATTCCCTCTAGTCTTATTTATAAAAAAATTTACTTTTTTAAATTTATTAAATAATTAATATATTTAATCTATATATTGTCTCGATATATTAATTATTTAATATATTTAAATAATAAATGTTTTTTTATAAAAAGAAAACAGTAATAAATAAATAATAAATAATATAAAAAATATTTTAAAATATATAACATAATTACCGTTATAGCCCTCTGGAGAAGCCTTTGAGAATACCCAACATTATGACCAAATTTCCTAAAAGCAATAGAAGAAGAAGCAAGTGCAGCTGCAATTTCAGCAGAAACTTCAGAGCCAGGATTGTCACTACTAACAAAAAAAGCAGTTCTAGGAGTATCCATATCTTCAGGTCTCTCCCAACAATTATGATCACCAAATGGATCACCAACTTGTGCAAAAACAAACCCAGGGGTATTTGTGGATTTTAATAAATAATCTGTGGCCCAAGCTATAGCATCTAGGGCATTGTTAAGTTCTTCTGGACCCATGAATTTTCCAAACTCAATTACACTCCATGATAACATTGTTGTTGAAAATGCCATTGGGAAATTGAATTTTACGTTGTCACCAGCATCATAGTAACCTCCAACTAAGTCAACCTAGTATGTGTAAATAGATAGGTCATTGCGAAATCATGTTTCAATAATAGTAATAAAAATAATATATTAAAAGTAATTATAATATTGAAGATAAATTAAAAAAAAAAGACTTTAAACTTAAAACAATTGTCTTATGGAATCTCAAAGAGCCATTTTAATTTTCCAAGTTCCACGAGTCACTCAATTAGTAAGTCACAAAATTTTATATTAGTAGTTCTAATTAACTCATTATACATTTATGATACAAATTTCGACTAACAAAAGTTATAATAACACTACTCTTATAATAAATATTTTATTTTTTATATTTCTTTGTTTGAAGATAATTTTGATTTTTCTGTTATATCTTATCTAGCGAATTAGTCCATTTAATTTGAATTTTATCATTTTCACATTAAAAATTGATCTAGTATTCATTTTTAAATGATGTTTCATTTGACGTGTTATATTTTGTAAAATTTTAAGGTAAAAGATATATGTTGTTCATTATTAAATAATGAAATCTTTTAATATAAAAAATATGATTTTTTTTTTTGGAAAAACTTTAAAAATAAAAAAACATTTCTATGAATAGTTGTATAAATTATTGTTCGACTGTCTTTTCTTTCTGTATAAATTAATAATAAAATTAAAATATTAATTATAGTATTATTAAGAAATGAATATTACCATCAATGTTTATTGTAAAAATATGAGCAGATTAATTTTATGAATATGATAAAATAAAGAACTAAAACTAAGATTAAATTTAAAAAACTTACTCTAAATTTTAATAATTGATTTTTATTAAATTAATAATTTTAATTAATTATTTAATTAAATTATTTTTTAAAATATTTTTTTATATAAATAATAAATTAAAGCCGTTAAATTAACAAAAATCAATAGTTAAAATTTAGAATAAATCTTTAAATTTATTTTTGAAATAAAAATATTCATCTTTATATATTATTTTAATGTTGTTTAATATGTCTTAAGATACTTATTAATATGGCTGTCAAATTTAATAATGTCATGGTAATATGATACCACGTGTTTTTTAAAGTACTCCAAAAAATATTTTAAATAACTAAAACTGTGTGCCTTTTCCTCCATTAAATTAAAAGCCACGATGAAAATTAAGAAAATTACTCATATTCTAAATTGAGTCTTCAACAACAGAAAACACATGACCCAACTGTGTTGGCTATTTAGTACTTTAAAATAGAACACTATATATATAATTAATTAAAGATATGTCATCAAAAAAAGAAGAAAAAAAATCAAATAAACAAGTTTAGAGCCCTAATATTAAAAAAAAAAAAAACAATTAATGTCTTAATACCAATTGTTTTACCAATGAGTAATCTAATGACCACACACTCTCACACATAAAGGTAAATGGTAAAAACTAGGTTTGAATCAACGAAACAAGAACATAGGTTGTATCAACCAAACAAAAACAATATGATACCAAAGCGCAAAAATGAAAAATAAAGAGTATAGAAAGTGAATTACTTTATCAAAGAATCGATCATCATCAAGTTGAAATCCATCTTCAAATGCAGAATCTTTCCTCCAACTCATTCTTTGTGTTGGTGGTAATTTCCCTGACCTTTGCCCTTCAAAGAACAATATGCTTTTTGACAATGCTTCTCCATAATTATGCTTCAACCCCATGCTCCTTTCACTTACACCCAAAAGTGTACAAACAATTATCATCACCAAATTTTGCTTCAAACTCATATTAAGAATATATTGCAATTAATTAATGATAATATATTAATGAATGTTGATGGAACAAAAGAAGGGACACTTATGGTGCTTATTGCATGAATATATGAAATGGGTGAATGTTAGTTTGGGAGCATTGGAAAGGTTGCAAATGTGGTTATAATGGTTAGTTACTTAAATAGTGTCCTACTTAAGCTATACTTCATTTTATTTTATCAATCATAATTAAGACATATTTATAAAAGTGACCCCATTCGATGTTTTTTTCTTTTGCCCTTTCCATTATTCCATGGTTTGTGTTCAATGCAAGTCGCTTCTTTTATAAAAATTGTGTTTTGAAGATGTTTTTCTTACTTTTTGTCCAAAAAAATTATGTATGAAGGGACGGCTTTTTTATTTTATTTTAAATAAATGAATTAGAAAACAAATTAACGAGGCCTAGCTTGTCAATTTATATGTTATTTCTATCTTTAAAAAATTTACTAGAATTCTATAACTTTGTAGTAGAGTTTAATAACAGAAACTATTCATTCAGTAGAAACTATTTAAATTAATACTTGGTAAATTAATAAAAAAATTTAAAATAATAAATTTGTCCGGTCCCGACTTGAATCCATGTAAAAAATTAAAAAATTCGATAAAATAATAAGATAATAATTTTTCGGGAGATCTCTTTATAATTTTCGGTCTCAAGAAAATCATAAATTAATAATTCATAGAAACTGGAAAAAAATTATATTACACTATATTGAAATATGATTCAATAGTTGTTTGTTTTCCTTTAAAGTTCAAGTTTATTTGAAACTCATCTCTAACTTTTCTTATTGCATTCAATAGCTTATGTGTTGTATTTTTGTATTGTATCTTAAAGTTGTGAAGAGTGTTCGATGCCATAAGTGTTTTCTTTCGCGTAATAGACTTCAAAGACACTGTATCATCTTCGACGTCATCTGGGTAGTTCATTAGATTGTTGATATCCATGTTATTACGATAACCACATTGATTGATCATACAACTCTTTAAATTAATAAATATTAATTTATCAATCAATTAATAACTCTCTAAATTAATAAATTTCTCATGTCCTGACATTATTAATTTAAAGAATTTCTACTGTATATAATTTAATTTATAATGAGTACTTTTAAGGTTACTACCAATTCTTCTAGTCTATTATTGGTGGATTTGATGGTCAGAGTTTTGAATCATTTTCTATTTGTAGTTGTTTTGGTGATTGCAAACTTTATTGTTTTAGTGTTTTTTGTTGTTGGGTGTTCATTGCCTCTTTCATTGAAATTTATATATCCTCAATTTTTAAGCTTTTTTTATTATTCTTATTGTATTTTTTGACACTTTTCGTGCTACTTCTATTTTTTTCTTCGGTTTTATGAGGTTTTCTCCCATTGACATTCCTTCATTTATATATATCTACAAAAATGGTTTCAAACCTTTTCATTGACAAAAATGAATTGGAAAAGGAAATTGACATAATAAAATATAGAGGTATACAAATGGACTTGATATTATATTTAGTGTTTGTATGTGTGTAAAGTTTCAAACATCCCCTAAAGAATCACATTTTAAGATCATCTAACATATTTTAAGATACCCAAGTGGTACTTCAAACCATGGTCTTTGGTTCCCTAAAAGAAGTGAATGTAGTTTAACATACTTCTCTGATTCTGATTTTGTTGAGTGCAAATCAGATAGGAAATACATTACTGGAACATGTCACATTTATGGATATTGTATGATCTCATGGCATATAGTAAGAAGCACCATATAATTTCACTTTCTACCGTCGAGACAAAATACACAATTGTTGGTAATTGTTGTGTACAAGTCCTTTGGCTGAAGCAACAATTATTCGACTATGATTTAAAACTAGGGTGTGTTCCAATCATTTGTGATAACACTAGCACAATTAATCTAACAGAAAACCTTATTTTATATTCGTGTACCAAATATTTTGAGATTATACATCATTTTCAAATATGTGGACACCAAAACTCACATTGCAAATATTTTTACAAAACCTTTTTTCGCATAGCCTAGTCATAATATTCGAAGAGAATTAGGGATCTAGATCCTTCTCGCTTTAAATATGAAATGATCTTTGATTTTAAGTTTGCTGATTTTTTTATAAAATTTAACTAACCGTTTCTTGTGTTGAAAGCTTCAGATTTAAATCAATCAACTATGGTATGCGTGGAACCTTGTTTTGCAGGTATTAGGTTTTCTTTTGATGATGACAACTGTGAAGAATTGAATAGATATTCAACATAGTAATGATAATGATGCAACATACAATATTACAGAAAATACCTTTCGTAAAACAATATTACAACGACTTTCTTGTTAACCGTGGTAATATCTCATTTTTGGACGCTTTTTTTTTATTTTCAATTTTAAATCACTTTTCACCACGGTTGGAAGTTTCAACCGTGGTAAAAAGTGGTGCATGGCCATGAGTTCAAATCGCATTGTTGTTGTTGTTGTTGTTCTACTGTTGCATTTTATATATTTTATTATAAGAAATACAACAAAAGTTGTTTAATATAACCGTTGTTGTATGTAGCACACTATCCACTTTACTACTATGGTTGAAAGTTCCAACCATGGTGAAAAGTCACTCAGGATCATGGATTCGAATCCTAACACCTACAATTTTATTTTATTTTAACATATTTTAAGCCACTTTTCACAAGGGTTAGAACTTCCAACTGTAGTGAAAAGTCACTCAGGGTCATGGGCAAATATAAGCGTGTTTATTGAGTTTCATCATCGTCCTTAAAAAAATGTTGGTCGTCCATTTCGTAATTATCAACACTCAAGATACTATCATTAGTGATTCGCATGAAACCTTAAACTTAGACAAATTTCCTACTTAAACAGACTCCATTTTCTACCTCCAAACATCATCTTCATTTACGACACTCTATTTCTCCATTAAACCAAGCTCGAAAATATCATTTCTACCATAAACGAAAATCGAAAATATCATTTCTTTTATTAAAAAATTTCAAAACTTCATCATCTCTTCTCCAACATGAATGTGACAAAGATACTATGGATTCAAGTTAACAATATGTTAGTTTGTTGTCCTTGTTATTCTTTTTATGTTATTGTTGTTGTTGTTGTTATTACTATTTTATTGTTGTTTTGTTATTGTTCTTATTTTTGTTATTTGATCTAACCTGATCAGACTTGGACCCTCACGGCTGGCTCTGAGCTGAAGTTTTGAACGAGGTGGGGGGGGGGGGGGGGGGTACCTGCAAGGCACTCCGATGCTGAAGTAAGTAAGAGCACGAGCAGGCAAGAGTATGAGTATGGGTAAAAGAATGAATACCTGACCCTCTGGAAACAGAGGCTATTTATAGCCCCCAGCGCTGGGCCAAGGTTCCTTCATTGGGCCGGGCATGTTTGGCCCAATGGAGGAACTGCCAGGTTCTACGTGTGTAGTGGGGACCTGCACGTGGTCCCCTTCCTGGATATTCTGCGTGAAGTACGGACGGACGAGGACGCGGTCTTTTCGGGATCCAGGTGATGGTGTAGTGGACAGAGTCTGCCCTAGGAGGAGTGCTCGAGCTGAGGTCGAGCAGGATAGCATGAAGTAGAGGATGCCGCACTGGCATAGAGCGTCGGGCACGGCTGCGGCCCTTGGTCGGCGTGATTCCTTGCAAGACTGTTTGGATTGGGCCTTCAACATTGCTTTTGGGCCAGCCCGGCCCAGTCTAGAACAGGAGCCCCCCAAGTCGTGGTTCCTATAGTAGGAGCCATGACTTGATCTTAGGTCGCCTGTGTCACGGGGTCCCGTTCCCGGCTAAAAGATGTAGTTCCTGCGGCTTTCTCGGGGAGTTCCCCCGTGTCGGGCCCATGAGATAATTCCGCTCGAGGAGCGCTCGGGGACTCTCGACGGGCTGCGTTCGTTGAGCATATGAGGCATCTCTTGGGAACCGTGCCGCCACCCTACTGACGATAGGGTCATCATTTCCTAGGGGAGCTACACGTCGAGGAGGGAAGTTCTGTGGTTCCCCGAGGTGACGTTTGGTATTCCACGTCATCACTATAAATAGGGTCTTTTGGGTCCCAGAACGTGTTTTCCCTCTTCGCGCTTCTCCTTTTCCCTCTATTTCTGCTGTTGCTGTTCTTCCCAGATACTCATAGGACCGCCGCGATCTCCGTCGCTGATTCCCTTTCTCCGTCATCACATTTCCTTCTTGATTTCAAGTAAGTGTCTTGTCTCCTTTGTTTTTCCTCTGTGATGCATGATTTTTCATTGTTTTTAGACGTTTAGAGACTGTACGCCTGGGATTAGCCCGGCAGATTTATATTTAGCTCGACAAATCCAAGTTTATGCCCGGCGAACGCATGTTTGCGCCCGACCAATGCATAATTTAGGTATTTAACTGGCAGTACTGCCCGGGATCCTTATGATTCGGGGCGCCTAATTCTTGGTGGTGCCCGGCGAACTCATGGCTCTAGTTTTGAGACGCATGATATCGCCCGCCACGTTCATAGTCTAGGTCGACATATTTGTGAGTGGTCGAGACGTTGGCCCACTTAGGCGATCTGTAGGGAGACTTGTCGTGGTATCTGGGAGTCGGGGAGGTGACTTCCCTTTTTGTTTCAAGACACCAACTTTTTTAGTCGCGCGTGGAGTGATATGGCTTGTCGCGCTCTTCATCCCATCTGCTATGGCGAGCGTACGGATTTGCTCCCCAATTGACCGGTTTCCTGTGCTTTGTAGGTAACCATGGCCGACGAACCGTGTTCCTCGGGGCGCGCTGAGGTGGAAGACCAAAGTGCCGAGGAAAATGTAAATTTGGTTGATACCATTGAGGACCCTTTGCTGGCATGGGTGGGCGCCGAGCCCAGGGGAATAGCTTTGGCCTACAGTCGACGTAGTCGAAGTGCATACACCATCCTCGAGAAGGGCAGTAGCCAACCCGATTTCCAGAAGAACTTCGTCGTCTCGCGACCAACTTTCATCGCGCAGATCTGCTCAGAGT